GCCATTTTTGGTCCACATTCACCAAACTGTAATTGTAAGATCTCTAGTTGCTATGACAGATTTCCTAACCTCAGTAGTCGTCAACTTTAACGCTTAATATATTGATTTGCGGGGACTAAATGTTTTCCTACAAATTTTTGCGTTTTGTACAAAAACGCGTCGAATGAGCCTAATTTTACCAAAATTGGAGGTGACCGTATTCTAAATAAATACTTTTTTTCATAACAGATAAAAAAATTATTGTGAAACTGAATCAAATGTTTGATAAATAAATTAGGTAATTATTTAGAAGGTAATTAGATAGTTTAGTATTAACCACTTCAAAAATCAATAAAATTAGGCTTATTCGACGCATTTTTGCATGAAAAGTATCTGGCAGAAAAAAGTGTAGCTTTGCCCGCGAACCGAGATATTAAGTGTAAAGGCTATCGCACATGAAATGCATAACAGAGCATAAGCATAACATAAGACTGCTGGACCAATGAGCATCTTATGTAAATCAATATGGCGACATTATGCTAGATACGCATTGGTCCAGCAGTCTTATGTTATGCTTATGCTCTGTTATGCATTTCATGTGCGATAGCCCTAAGGGTATATCCACATAACTTGCATAGCCGCATAAACATATGCATAAAGAAAATTATCCAATCGCATTTCTCCTATAAAGGCGCACGTAAAATGTGATTGGATAATTTTATTTATGCATACGTTTATGTGGCTATGCAAGTTTGTATGGATATACCATTAAGCCTCATCTACACGACAAGGCGTAACACGGTGTGAAGGCGCATGCGCAGACGCAAGAGAAATATTTCAGGTCGTAATGACATGACGCAATTGCGCAATAGAAATAAATTAATTTTATTTCCTACATCTGTGCCCACTTACGTTACGCCAGCTGTTTTCGCTAACACGGTTATGTTATACGTGGTTACACGGTTTGGATCCTTAAAGGGCGGTATTTATAGTCGATTCTTATTTCAAGAACATCTTAAGTAATGTCTTAAGACGGTCTTAAAATAAGAACCGACTATGAATACCGGCTATAGTCCGTTATTTTAAAGACCGTCTTAAGTAATGTCTTAAGATGCTAATGCGGTTCTCTGGCCGGTATTCATAGTCGATTCTTATTTCAAGACCGTCTTAAGGGGATGCTTGAGTGTCCTGTTTTACAATTAATTTTTAAAGACTCTTTTCTCTTAATTGTGTTTATGGATTGAAAAGTCCTCCACAATTAAAGTATCGACAACAACACAGGCTGCCAGCTACAATTTAATACGAAAAATGAAAAAAAATTAAAAATTGTAGTTTTGTCACCGGCTTCTGCAGTCAACTCGTCACAATATGTGCTGCATATAAGAGTTTCAGATTTTACCCGGTTAAAATAAGTAGCCAGCAGCCTACAGAAAACCTCGAAGAACAATCCTATACTTTTAGAAACGAGGTAGGAGCTTTAGTATAAGAGAAAAGAGTCGCCGAAAATTTTGTTTGTATATTACGAGTGAAATTGACGTGAAGCCATGAAACCGAGCAGTATTTTAGTTGATCTCTTTCTAAGAGATGACGTTACAATATGTCAGATAAGGACAGATAAATGCGTTTGAGCGAGACACAACGATATATAATAAGTATAAGAAATGAATAAAAGATGTCACTATTATCGAATTTGGAATTAAAAAAAGTCTGTGTAATCAACCTTGATTAAGTTCGATAGTCACTCCAGCATCCCCTTAAGTAATGTCTTAAGGCGATGCTAAAGCCTCCTGTTTTACCACATTTCCATTCAGTGAAAAATCTCTCTATTGGATGTACGGATTGCAAAAGTATTATTACATAAATTAAAGTACGCATAAACAGGATCTCAACTGTACTGAATTTCATGAGAAAATCGAAAAAAGTTAAAAAATTCACTTACTTATAGCTCGTACAGCTGTCACCTCAGATATATATTTGCTTGATATAAGAGTTTTAGAGTCCATATATTGAAAATAAGCGTGCAGCTGAGGTCACATTATTGAAACGAACGATACCGAGTTTGTAGAACCAAGATTGAAAGTCTAGAAAAGAAATATTTCCACCGAATAGAAAATACGTGTATACAGGTGCTTTGCAAAGACTGGGACTGTCAACAGAATCGAAATTCCGTGTAGCAGTAGTTGCGCGGTCTTGCGATAGATGGTGCTGGCATATGTTAGATAAGAACAGACGTATGCGTTTGAGTAAGACAGAATGATATATATTATATAATATAATGTAAAAACTAAATCAAAGATGTC